GCCTATAATCCCAGCACTTTGGGAGGCTGAGGCGGGCGAATCACTTGAGGCCAGGAGTTTGAGACCAGCCTGGCCAATATGGCGAGACCCCGTCTCTACTAAAAATACAAAAATATTAGCCGGATGTTGTGACCCACCTCTGTAATCTCAGCTACTCAGGAGACTGAGGCAGGAGAATCGCTTGAACCTGAGAGGCAGAGGCTGCAGTGAGCCAAGATTGCGCCATTGCACTCCAGCCTGAGCGACAGAGTGAGACTCCACCTCCAAAAAAAAACAAAAAAGTAAAGAAAAAGAAGGCCGGACGTGGTGGCTCACGCCTGTAATCCCAGCACTTTGGGAGGCCGAGGCAGGCGGATCACAAGGTCAAGAGATCAAGACCATCCTGGCCAACATGGTGAAACCTTGTCTATACTAAAAACACAAAAATTAGCTGGGCGTGGTGGCACGTGCCTATAGTCCCAGCTACTCGGGAGGCTGAGGCAGGAGAATCACTTAAACCCAGGAGGCGGAGGCTGCAGTGAGCCAAGATTGCGCCATCGCACTCCAGCCTGAGCGACAGAGCAAGACTCCATCTCAAAAAGGAAAAAGAAAGAAAAGAAATGAATTCTGTAGCCATGAGCCCTTGCCGAAGGTAGTCTGACCCACACTGGTCAGCTCAGGCTTTGGGGTCAAGGGGTCCGGCCTCTCCCTCACGATCCCTGCTGTCCCCCAGGTCGGCCCTCCTCCACGCTGACTTCCGGGTCTCGCTCTCCCACGCCTGTAAGAACGCTGTGAAGACAGATGCCCCTGCCTCCGCCCTCTGGGACATCATGCGTTGCTGGGTGAGGGCAGGGCTGACCTCATGCAGGTGGGAGGGCAGGTGGTGGTCACCTGGAGGTCCCTTGGGCCTAGTACTCCCTAACCTCTGACCTCTGCCCCCAGGAGAAGGAATGTCCGGTGAAACGGGAACGACTATCAGAGACCAGCCCAGCGTTCCGCATTCTCAGTGTGGAACCCAGGTAGGGGCAAGCACATGCGGGAGGGGCCAGGGCTGCCCATAGGCATGGGAAGCACACGTGTGTGCAGACAACACACATGCTGCCCCATCTGTGTTGACTCGTGCCCATTCTTCAAGTGAGATTCAAAATCTGCTGACTGGGGCTGGGTAGGTGGCTCACGCCTGTAATCCCATGACTTTGGGAGGCTGAGGCACCTGAGGTCAGGAGTTCAAGACCAGCCTGGCCAACATGGTGAAACCCCATCTCTACTAAAAATACAAAAAAAAAAAAAATTAGGCATGGTGGCACATGCCTATAGTCCCAGCTACTCGGGAGGCTGAGGCAGGTGAATCACTTGAACCTGAGGTAGTGAGCCGAGATTGCACCACTGCATTCTCCGTCTCAAAAAAAAAAAAAAAAAGGGAAAAGAAAATTAGCATTATCAGCATACCAGGGGTAGCTTTTTGTCCATTTTGTTCACTGTCTATTCCCAGCACTGAGAACAATGCAGGCACACAGTCGTTAAATAAAAATGTTTATTAGGGCCAGGCGTGGTGGCTCATTCCTGTAATCCCAGTGCTTTGGGGGCCAAGGCGGGAAGATCACTTGAGCCCAGGAATTTGAAATCAGCCTGGGCAACACAGTAAGACTCCATCTCTACAAAAAAACAAAAAATTAGCTGGGCATGGTGGTACCTGCCTGCCGTCCCAGCTACTCAGGAGCTTGAGGAGGAAGCAGGAGGATTGCTTGCGCCCAGGAGTTCCAGACTGCAGCTTTGATGGCGATCACACCACTGCACTACAGCCTGGGCAGCAGAGTGAGACCGGATATCTTTATTTCATTATTATTTTTTAGACGGAGGCTCACTCTCTTGCCCAGGCTGGAGTGCAGTGATAATGATTTCAGCTCACTGCAACCTCCGCCTCCCAGGTTCAAGTGATTCTCCTGCCTCAGCATCCCAAGTCGCTGGTATCACAGGCACCCAGCACCACGCCCAGCTAATTTTTGTATTTTTGGTGGAGACGGGGTTTCACCATGTTGGCCAGGCTGGTTTCCAACTCCTTACCTCAGGTGATCCACCCGCCTTGGCCTCCCAAAGTGCTGGGATTACAGGCATGAGCCACTGTGCCTGGCGGAGACCCTATCTCTTTAAAAAAACCAAAAATGTTTATTAGATGAATGAGAGAATCCTGACATGAGCAGACACCTCGTGCTGTGTGGTGGAGGCGGACAGGCCCTATGGGGAGTCGGGACACACTCGTGTGGCAGCTGCCCCCAGCCCCGACGCCCCACCCCTGCTTCCCTAGGCTGCAGGCCAACTTCACCATCCGGGAAGATGCCAACCCCAGCTCCCGCCAGCGAGGACTCAAGCGCTTCCAGGCCAACCCGGAGGCCAACTGGGGTCCCCGGCCTCGTGCCCGGCCAGGGTGAGTGGTGGTAGAGTTGGGGTGGGGCTCAGCCAGGGAAAGCAGAGGAAAGCAGATGAGGTCCCACCTACTCCTCCCCTGGCACAGGGGCAAGGCGGCCGACGAAGCTATGGAGGAGAGACGCAGGCTGCTTCAGAACAAGCGGAAGGAGCCGCCGGAAGATGCGGCCCAGCGGGCTGCCCGGCTCAAGACATTTCCTTGCAAGAGGTTTAAGGAGGTAAGGTCCCTCCTCCCTTTCTCCCACGACAGGACATGTGAGTCTCCCCTTTGGGCAACAGGGAGAGAACTGGGGGAGCTGGAGCCAGGCAAGTGCTTGGGAGTGGGCTTCCCATTCCAGGAAAGGAACCCATCAGGGGCTGCTGAGCTCGGGGCAGGGGTTTACACCCACCATCTTCCCACCAGGGCACCTGTCAACGCGGGGACCAGTGCTGCTACTCCCACAGCCCCCCGACACCCAGGGTTTCTGCTGATGCTGTCCCTGACTGTCCAGAGACCTCCAACCAGAGCCCCCGTGGACCTGGGGATGCCGCTAGGCCAGGCATAGACTGAACCAATAAAGAGATGTCACGTCACCTTCTCCCGATTGCCTGTGATTTGTGTATTGGTCCATACAGCTGCATGACTGGGATCTGTTCCTGTCTTCCTCTGGGGGTCGTTCGCCCCTGCCTGACTGCAGTGTTGAGCCTGTATGGGAGGTAGGAGCTGATCATCTGCACAGTGGTCGGCCCCTCTGCAGCGAAGGTCACTGAGCCACCCCAGAGTCGGAGCCTGCGGTTCCCGAAGTGGCCACGGTGCGGCAGCTGTGCGCTGGCTCCCGCGGGGGGTTCTGTCCCTCTTCCCCCTCCCACCTTCAGCGCGCTCCAGGCCGCGGGCTTGCGCATAGGGGGGCGCTCCTGCCCGGTAACCCCCACGTGTCCTCGCGCTGCTGCCTCCTCGCCGCCTGGTTTCTTTGGCCCAGCTCTCCAGGGGCCGCAGTGGCGGAAGCTGGACCGGAACCAGGCGCCCTGTGCATCCGCTCCAGACCAGGTGCTTCCTGCCCTGAGGCCCGAGGGGGCGTGCACACAAAGAGGGACCTCGCAGGCTGCTGCCCAGACACCTAGTGAGGGGGAGCTATACCCCTCCCTGCCCTCCAGAGCGGGCTTTAGTAACGTTAAGGAAGAGTTCTGGGGCAGGATCCCCTCTCTGGCTCCTGTGCCCTTCATCCCCATATGTAATGAGGCTAATCTTAGGACCCTCTTTGTAGGAATATCAGAGTTAGTTTCAGTGCTTAAACTTTTTTTTTTTTTTTTTTTTTTTTTTTTTGAGGCAAGGTCTAGATGTATGGATGGCCCAGGCTGGAGTGCAGTGGTGCAATATTGGCTCACTGCAACCTCCACCTCCCAGGCTCAGGCCATGCTCCCACCTCAGCCTCCAGAGTAGCAGGGACTACAGGCACACACCACCACAACCAGCTAATTTTTGTATTTCTTGTAGAGATGGGGTTTCGCCATGTTTTCCAGGCTGGTCTCAAACTCATGAGCCCAAGCAATCCGCCAGTCTCAGCCTCCCAAAGTGCTGGGATGACAGGCATGAGCCACCACGCCTGGCCTTTATTGCATAAAACTTTAGTTCCTGCTGCTTTGGAGGAAAGCAATGGAGGTGTTGATCGTGAGGTCCTGTGCTCCGCCCCATTCCTGGGGGGGTGGTAGTAGTCCTGGTGCTGGGTGCCTGCCTGGGGGCTCTTGCAGTTGCCCACACACATGGGCCAAAGCATGAGTATCAGAAGTGGGCGGCAGTCCTGTAGCTGCTGCGGCCTGGCTGTGCCCAGAGCCTCTCCCTGTGGGAAGCTCCAGTGGGATCTTGAGGTTTACCACCAAGCCAGGATACCTGCCCCCCATGAAGGGTTCGGGTGCTGTGGGGTGAAGGCCACGGACCACCAAGTTGGAGTTATGTGATGCTGTAGCCAAGAGGCCTAGAACTGTGGGGACCTGTTGGGCATCTACTGGAAGGTCACACCAGCCTCGACACCCTAGGAAATCCAACTTCCCACCCCACCCCCGACAGCCATGGCACTTCCTCTCACCCTCCTGGGCTTGGAAATGTGTGGATACTGTGCTGAGGGCTTGGGACACCTGCCCAGGCTGGACACCCAAGGCCAGACTGTTAGAACTGTTTCCCTTTGGGTGCCCCACTCCCGGGTAGGGGTGGTGGAGAGGCGGGAAGGGCCTCTGTAAAAAGAGGAACCAGGCTGGGTGAAGAGAGGAGAAGGTGGGGGCCCTGGGTCACGCGGCCCCAACGGGCCGGAAAGGGCTCTCCCTCACCCCCATCAGCATAGACATTCGGGCAGGGAGTGTTCAAAGCCAAAGGGCAGACTCAGAGGACATAAGAGGAGGCAGCTTCCCTGCCTCAGTTTACCCCCTGTGTGCATCCAGGCACCTTCCTCCCCGGCTGCCCTCGGGCCCGGGTCCCCAGAGGCCCGGGGTCCCTCCAGTGCCTGGGGGAGCGGAAGGCGAAGCCCTGAGGGGTGGCGGACCGAGTCCTGCCAGCGCCGGCTGGGGGCGGGGCCGGGAGGCCCGCGCTGCTAGGTCCCCGCCCGCTGGTTTCCTCCGGGGTCAGCCCGGCTCCTTATCAGGCGCGGCCAGGCAGCCCGGCCCTTATCTGCCCTGGGCCAGCATCCTCCGGTCGCTGCGCCGCCAGGGGTGAGAGGGAGGAAACCGGGCCGCCAGGGGCGGGGAGAGGGAAGGCCGGCCCGGGAGCCGCTCACTTTCCCTGGAGGAGACCTAAGCGGAGACCTTGGCTATCCTGGCCTTCCAAGGCCCACGAGGAGGCGCGGCCCAGCGCCGGGGCCTGGAGCATTGAGGCTGGACCCGAGCGAGACAGCAGAGCCTGGCCTGACGCTGGAAACCACACCCTGGCCCAGACTGCCAACCCTGACCGGACAGAGCCAGGGCACTCACCAGGCTGCAGGAACAGTGCTGGGGTAAGAAGGGAAACGGCCTAAAGGTGGAGGATCCCAGGCCTGGGACCCAGCCTGCATTCCTTTGTTTGTTCATTCATTCATTCATTCATTCATTCATTCATCCATCCATCCATCCATCCATCCATCCATCCATCCATCCATCCATCAGCAGGGACCTACTTGTGAGGGGCCAGGCCTGCTTCCCCAGGGCCTAGCTGAGGAAGACAGGGCAGAGGGGCCAAGAGTCTCACACCTTGCTAGGACATCCAGGACTCTGGAACCAAGAGCAAACAGGGATGTCAAAACAGTATGCAAAAGTGTGGATGATGGAGGGGCATGGTGGTGCGTGCCTGTAATCCCAGCACTTTGGGAGACTGAGGCGGATCACTTGAGCCCAGGGGTTCCAGACCATCCTAGACAACAGAGTGAGAACCTGTCTCTATTGAAAAATTAATTTTTTTTTAATTTAGCTGGGCATGGTGGCACATGCCTGTACTCTCAGCTACTCAGGAGGCTGAGACAGGAGAATGGCTTGAGCCCAGGAATTTGAGGCTGCAGTGAGCTATGATTGCACTACTGCACTCCAGCCTGGGCAACAGAGGGAGACCCTGTATCTAAAAAATAAACAAATTTTAAAAAGTGTGGATGCCGATGAGGGTGGGGGCTTCCAAGCCAGAGGGAGGGTTGGGACATGACTCGACTGGGCAGTGGGGTCAGTGTTTGGGGGTCTAGGGTCAGCATTGGAGGTCATAGTGTCAGTAGTGCGGTCACAGGGTTGCTATGGGGGACGTTTGCAGTAGGAATGGGGGTCACTAGAGCAATTACAGAGCACTTTGAGGGACAGCAATGGGAAGAACTACAGGGTCATTCCTGAGGTGCAGAGGGTCAGCCTGGGTCGGGGGTGGGGGGCATCTGTGAAGGGTCAGAGTCCATCTTGGAGGGATTCCAAGCTCACATGGCATCAATGAGTCAATGAGGAGTCTCTGGATCGGATCTTTAGATCTGAGGGTAACAAGGTTAATCTTGGGGTAGAATCTGGAGATCCCAGGATCAGTTAGGGGCTCCCTGTCTTGTTCCCTCCAGGCTGCAGAGGTGAGGGAATTCTGGCAGAAGGAATATTTGCTCAGAGGCGGGGCAACAGCGCCCCTCCTGGGTCACAAAGAGCGCAGGGACAGTGCGCTGCCTAGCACCTAGGTGGGCGCCTCCTACTCTAATGCAGGACCCCTCCCATGTCCTGGAAGTTTCTGGGCCTGCCCCTGCCATCTGCCTTTGCCTACTGAAACCCCTCCCCTCCTCCTTTCCCCCCCCTTCCCATTTGAGGGGTTTTTTGGGCTAAGAAGGTGGGAGCGGGGTACCTAGTCCTCCTTCCCACTGGCTGCCTTCTTTCCCACAGGTGAGTACCCCCACGTCGGGGTCCATGTGCCCGCCTCAGGCACAGGCAGAGGTGGGCCCCACCATGACTGAGAAGGCAGAGATGGTGTGTGCCCCCAGCCCAGCACCTGCCCCACCCCCTAAGCCTGCCTCACCTGGGCCCCCGCAGGTGGAGGAGGTGGGCCACCGAGGAGGCTCCTCGCCCCCCAGGCTGCCACCTGGTGTACCAGTGATCAGCCTGGGCCACAGCAGGCCCCCAGGGGCAGCCATGCCCACCACAGAGCTGGGCACCCTGCGGCCCCCACTGCTGCAACTCTCCACCCTGAGAACTGCCCCACCCACTTTGGCCCTGCACTACCACCCTCACCCCTTCCTCAACAGGTCAGTGGGGAGCTGGGGTGGGGTGGGGTGGGGATTGGGGGCCAGGGTCCTTGCCCACAAGGCATTAGTGACCCACGACCCCTTACAGTGTCTACATTGGGCCAGCAGGACCTTTTAGCGTCTTCCCTAGCAGCCGGCTGAAGCGGAGACCAAGCCACTGTGAGCTGGACCTGGCTGAGGGTGAGTGTGGGTTTGTGTGCCTTGTGGGTTTGCATGCCTGTGTGTGCACTTGTGGGTGCACGGAAGGCCGGGCCATCTCTGTGTGGGGCTCATGTCTGTCCTCTACTCCCACCTTGGGGGAGAGGTGCTTCCAGCACACACAGAGAACAGCCCACACAGGTTCTACCCATGTGCACAACCGCAGTCCCATAGCCAGCCCCACACAACCACCGCCACGCAACAGGCCAGGCCTTGTAGCCGCAGTCATGGCAAAACAGAGCATGCCATACCAGGTATGGGAGCCACAAAATGACAGCTCCACTAGAATGTGCAGCCACGCAAAAGACAGCCACAAGACCACAGCCATGCAAGAGACAGCCACAGGACCACAACCACACACAAGACAGCCACAGGACCACAGCCACTTAGGACCATGGCCACACAAGAATCAGCCACACAACCACAGCCACTCATGAAACAGCCACATGGCAACATCACACATAACCACAGCCATGAGACATAAGAGTCTCACACAGCCTATGAGACACAGGACAGTCAGTCATAATGAGAGGACCTCTCAGACCCACGAGCACACCCAGCCAGCCACACTTGGGCACACTCTAAATGAGGTCCCCAGGGACAGCTTCGTAAACAACCACGAGGAAATCTTTCCTTAGGGAATCTCAGTCATTGACATAAAGGAGCCCATAGTCACAGACACAGCAGGCCATTGTCCGCAGGCCGGGCCTGTGATGATTCGTCTGGGTGGCTTCTGGGAGGGGTGGGGAGAGCTACCCGTGGACCCCTTGGGTGGAGAAAGTCCCAGCCCATGGCCTGGGTTTAAGTTCTCAGGAGGGTGCTGCGTGCCTAGGAGGAGGGCAGGAGAGGCCGCCCGTTGGGCCATGGCGCCAACCCGGCCTTCCTTGTCCACAGGGCACCAGCCCCAGAAGGTGGCCCGGCGCGTGTTCACCAACAGCCGGGAGCGCTGGCGGCAGCAGAACGTTAACGGCGCCTTCGCCGAGCTGAGGAAGCTGCTGCCTACGCACCCGCCCGACCGGAAGCTGAGCAAGAACGAGGTGCTCCGCCTAGCCATGAAGTACATTGGCTTCCTGGTGCGGCTGCTGCGCGACCAAGCGGCAGCTCTGGCCGCAGGCCCCACCCCGCCCGGGCCCCGCAAACGGCCGGTGCACCGGGTCCCAGACGACGACGCCCGCCGGGGATCCGGACGCAGGGCCGAAGTGGCAGCGCGCTCGCAGCCCGCGCCCCCGGCCGACCCCGACGGCAGCCCCGGTGCGGCGGCCCGGCCAATAAAGATGGAGCAAACCGCTTTGAGCCCAGAGGTGCGGTGACCGCACGCGCCAGCATTTCTGAGCCGGAGGGCACCAGGGACTCGGCCCAGGGCCGTCGAGGAAAGGGCAGTGGACGTGCTGCGCGTGTTCGGGTGCGAACACCCCCGAAGAAGGACCAGTGACGACGTCAGGGGCAAGGTCTCGGGGGTCCGGAAGGGTGATCATCGTCCCCCAAGGGACCCGCAGACTCTTAAAAAAAATCACCCACCGCCCTGTGGAAGTGGCCTTGCCTGGTTCCCCTTCGCAGGGGCGCGGTTGGCAAACTAACATGGCAGAGCAGTCACAGGACCCAAGTGGTGCCTCATTTTTTCCGGGCTGGGGTCGCGGGGGAAGGCCAGGAGGGGCTGGGGAGCCTTAGCTTTTCTCACCGTCGGCCCCTCCCGGAGACCCAGGGACAGACGCTTGTCGACGGCGTCTGCTGCGCCAGCGGCGCTTGGAGAGAGGCGCAGAATCCAAGTTGGGGACGCACCCTACCGACCCCGACCCAGTCCCGCACGGTCGCGTTAGCGAAGGGTCAGGCGCTCCTGCGTTTGTTTTTCTTTATTTCTTTATTTCACATACACATTAGCCATTCAATGGAGAAGCCGGAGAGAGTCAGGCAAAGATGGTATAACAGAAGCGCAGTGACGGGGGCGGGGCGGGGCGGGGCGGAGAGGGAACAGACGGGCTGGCTGCCTACTTGCATTCCGCTAGGACACTGAAAACCCAGAAAACAAAACAGACAGTAAACTACCCTTGTTTCTTATGTATCTCAGTGCAGAGACGGGGGTGGAGGGCAGAGAAGAGGGGGAGACCAGGCTGAAGGAGGAGGAGCAGAGGGAAGGGGACGCTAAGGGGGAAGCACACCAAATCCATTAGTACTATATATAGATACTCGTATATACTGCGTTTCTTAGCCTAAGAAGAAACTTGTTTGACGGGACGGGCGGCCTTTGCGGTCCGCGATGCTGGTGCTGGTCGGGCGCACGGATCTCCCGGGAGGGGCCGAAGCGGGGCTGGCCCAGGCTGGCTTGCGGGGGGAGGGGGGCGCCCCGAGGGTAGGTGGGGTGGGGGGGAGCAGAGGCGGGGCTGGGGTGCCCCTCGGGCTCTCGATTGGGGGACGAAAGTTCTCGTGACTTTATTGCTCCTTTATTTTCTCTCGTGTGGGGGGTCTGTTCAGCACGGTCGGGGTGGGGGAGTGGTGGGTCGTCTGAGCCACCCGGCCCCTCTGGGACCCAGAGCGCGGCGTCCGCTCCGCCAGCACGGGGGTGAGAACAAGGCACTAGGTCGGCCGGCCAGCGCGGGGGCGGGTGTGTAAGGCAGTCGACAGGGCTGGTTGCGGGGTGGGGCGGGGCTGTGTGCGGGGCCGTGTGCGTGCGTGCGTGCGGGCGCGGGCCTGGGCAAATCGACCTGTCAGCGTAGGCTGGTCCTGTCCTGGAGCGTCGAGCCTTCCCGGTGTTCCCCGGAGGGGGTCGGGGATAGGATGAGAGATGTTGAATGGGGGCGGGAGGGGCGCCGGGAAAGTGGGGAGGAAACTACCAACTTGCTGAGCGCGCTCCTGATAATGCTGGTGAGGGTCAAGTTGGCGTCTGGCTCAAAGAAGGGCGCTCGGGGCAGGGAGGGAGGGAGGGAGGGGACGTTTGTTCGTTGGCATTGACCTCTGCGGGGGAGGGGCCAGGGACCCCTGCTGCGCCCCTGTACCCAGACGGGGATGGGGCGAGGAGGGGGTGCTGGGCCCCAGGGAGGGGCGCCCGGGGAGACCCGCGACCGGAGCAGTCCAGCCGCCAGGGGCACGCCGCTGTCCCGTTCCGTTAAACTCAACAAAGAAGGGATATGCGTATTCCTAACAAGTGCAGGATATTTAATTGATTCATAAACTTATGTATAATAGTTTGTGGGTTCTTTAAAACGTACTTTATAATGTAAGAAGCACCAGGGTTTTATGTTTAATTATCTTAAAAATAATTTTTCTCTCGTCCTTTTCCTTTTTGATCTTGTGTTGGTTATTTTTTAAATGTCGAGGTGTTTTTTTTAAACTCTAAAATGTGAACGTTTCCTTCAGCCCTCCCACCGAAACTGAGAACGAACGACGAAACAAATAAAAACCCCAGATCATCCTCGTCAACGCAGGAAAACGACTTGAAAAAAAAAAAAAAAAAAACTAAAAACGAACGAAAAAAAAGGGAAAAACACTCAGCTTTCGTTATCCCCGCACAGGGCGGGGCAGGCCCGGTTCTTTTAGCGTCCCCAGAGCCGCGAGGACATTACAACAAAAATAGAATTTTTTTTTCTTAATCTCTTAACATACAAAGATAGGAAAACTCTCTGATGCATTGCACTTGGTTCAATGAAAAAAAAAAAAAGTTCATTTCCCCCATATATATTTTTGTGTTTTTTTTTTTTTCTCTCCTAACACGTCCCCACATCTCCTGTTGCCCTCATTGCCCCTCACAACACCACTTGGGAAAGGAGCAGCCCCCACCCCCTGCCCGCCCGGGCAGCCCCGCCGGGCACGCTCCGGCCCGGGCCCAGCTGGCCTGCAGCTTCCGACCTCGCCCGGGCAGGCGCCCTGCAGACCCTGGCTCCCACAGTCACACAGCGCCCGAGGCCCCGACTGTCGTCGAGGGAAAGGGCACGTGCGGCCGGACAGGGAGCCCCTTCTGCTTCGCTCTCAGCTCTGACCCTGTTTAGCCAACCGAACTGAAAAATCATTGCACTTTGACCGCGCGTCACGCCCGGCCCACCCGGCCCCCCACCCCCGGGGCCTTACTCCCCACGCCCCGGGAGACTCCCGCAGGATCCACTGCCCTTCAGCCCTGGGGTTCTCTAGGGCTGCACGCTGAGGACAGAGGGAGGGCTTCACTCAATTTCCAACAAAAGCCGCCCCTGGGGTCAGCCACCTTGTGGCTTCCAGCTGGGTAGCAGGCACCACCTGCCTGCCCCTTCGGCCCCAGGTCGCTGACCTCCCCTCCCCAGACACTCCCTCCTCTCTTCCCTCCCTCCGCATGCTCAGGGCCACAGCCTCACAAACTAGATTCACAATAAATACAGCCCATAACCCACCCCTACGTGGTGCAATGTTGGATTTTCTTTCAGAGGATCCTGACCTGTGCTTTGTGTTTTCATACAATGAAGAGAGAGAGAAAGAGAGAGAGGCACAAGGACTCGAGAAGGGGCCAGGGACGGGAGACGCAGGAGGAAGGAGTAAGGCACAGAAAGACAAGCCAGAGGGGCCAAGTCACACCCTGGAGGGGAGCTGGGCGTGCTCATCCTCCCCTCCCTCCCAGGGGGGCTTCTGAAGACCCTCTGGACAGGCCCCCCAACCCTCCTTGAGGGAAGAGGGGGCTGGGGGGGAGAGCTACTTCCTGTGGTGTGTTACCAAATTGTTCCCAAGTTGCTCAAATGGAGGAGTTCCCATTCCAACAGCAAAAGACCCAAACAATGAATGCCCCACCCCTAAATAAAGAGTAAAGACATTACAGCTAAAATCCAGAGAAAAGTGGCCACGGGGGGCAGGGGGAAAGTGGGGGGCACAGAAAGCTCCAAAACACTTTTGAAAAGGACGACACCCAACACCCTCCCAAGGAACTGAAAGTCGGCGAGCAGGACGCCTACCTAAGCGCAGGTGGTGACTTAGCGGCGGCAGCGGCGGCTGCCTGGTCCTCCTCGCTTGGCTCCGGGGTCCCCTTTCTGCTCCACCCTCCGGCCCGGCCCCAGCAGGGCAGTCTGCGTGACGGGCAGGGGCAGGGACTGATGGGGCGGAGCGAGGGCACCTGCATGCAGGGCTGGGGGTGGGGGCGACCTGGGGCCCGACTCCCCTCCCTCGTGGCAGGAAGGAGGCCCTCCTGGCCTGCAGAGAGAGGGGAGAGGGGGCCTGTCCCAGGCTAGGACAAGGCCTTCGAGAGCATTCCGACTTTCTCCTACGGACTGTACAGAGGGGTCCAGGGCCCCAGGAACTGCTCTTGAGGCTCAGGGTGAGGTGACAGAACACCCTCCATTCTGGGACACGCAACTAGCTCCAGGGGTCACCCCCTGCCCGCCTGGAGGCTTTTAGCCCGAGGGTGGGGAGGGGTAAGTGGAGGCTGCTCTCCCCCTCCTGGTCTGGAACAGCTGGGGGAAGAAGCTGGAGCCTTGGCAGGGAGGGAGGGAGGGAGGAAGGGAGGAAGGGAAGGGCGGAGTCTGGAGGGCAGAGCCTGAGGGATCTAAACCCCATCATCTTTACAAGCTGGTCCTCCAGGCTCCCTAGGACAGCTCCGACCATGTGGAGGGTGGGGTTCCCCTAGGAAGGGGTGAGGGTGGAGGCCAGGCCCCTTCAGAACTGTGCTGGTTGCTTTGTTTGGGGACTTTGTTCCTTCCCCAGAAGGCCGGGGCGGGGTGGTGGGGAGGAAGGCAGTTCTGCATCCTTTCTTGCTTTCTGTCCTCTACTTGACAGAGTCCATGTCGCGTGTTTCTTTCTGCTTGGCTGCTGGTGCACAGCTCCACCGAGACCCCTTCCGAGGGCTCTCCGAGAACTGGGCTGCTTCTGGGGCCCGCAGGGGTCCCCGGGCTGGAGGAGAGAAGGGCTGAGTGGCTGACGACGTGTAATTTTTGCTTTTCGGTGGGGCTGGGCTGGGCTGGGGGATTTTTCCATGTCTCAAAATTTCTTCTCCCCCCTTTCGAGGAACCTCTTCTTTTCATTTTGTTGTTTCTTTTGTCGATCTTATCAGAGGAACCAGGACTGAAACAGGATGAAAAAGAGGTGACACTGAGAACAGCTGTGGCAGGTCCCATCTCACTCCTACCTGGCCCAGTGACCTGGCCCCTCAAGGGCCCAGCTCCCAAAGAGCCAGGGTGCCAGGCAGCCACCACCCACCTCGTTCCCGTGGAGAAGAAAGGGCATCCCCATTCTCTCCCTCCCTCCTGCGAGAACCCTGCCCCCTCAGAGACTCTGCCCCTAGTGCTAGAGTCCAGCTGGCCTTCCCGTGGGCACTGTGCCCAGCGGGCGGGACCCCCATGGCTGGCGCTGGCACAGGCCTGAGATCTGGCCATGTTTCCAATTGTTTAGGTTTTTATGTGGGTCCTGGAGGGTGGGGAAGATGCCAGGCTGGGGCTTTTGTACCCAGAGGGGTTTTAGGGATGGGGTGGGGGTGGCCCAGCTTCTTGCTGAGTTTTCTTTCTGTCTCTTTGGATTAAAAGCAGAAATTCCCATCTATATACCCCAGCCAAGGTCCCACAGGCTGAAAAGCTGGGGGCAGAGGAACCACTTGGCTTCAGTCCCTAGTAGCGCCAGGCCTAGGGGAGGGGCCACGTAGCCCATGGTGCTTGATCTT